TTTAGGGTCTAGGGTTCTAGGGGTTAGGAGGATTGTACAGGCTTTGATGCAAGCTCTTCTTGGACTCAAGTCCAGATTCAAGCAGCAATGCAGCCCTACAAGTCCAAACTGCCAGCCTCCACGCAGCAACAAGCTCAGAGCTTTCAATGTACCCTACCCTAAACCCTAAACCCTAAACCCTAAACCCTAAACCCTAAACCCTAAACCCGAAACCCTAAACCCTAACCATAAACGGTACACATGTCTACCAGGTCAGGGTCGGTTCCTCTTTTGCAGTACCGTCCTTACTCCAGGTACATCCAGAGATCTAAACTCCTGAACCATCCTGAACCGTACATTCCTCAGCTTTAGCGTTTAGACATTGAGCCCTAACCGCCTAAACCCTCATTTCGACCCCCGAAATCCTAAGCCCGAAGCCCGTGGAAATTTGCTAGACACCCTACCCCCCTGACCCCCTGAACCCTAAACCCTAAACCCTAAACCCTAAACCCTAAACCCTAAACCCTAAACCCTAAACCGAACCCTTACCCTCCCCAGCTTTGCAGAATTGCGGACCGCGGTGCAGAGTTGGCGCCCCCACGCGAGTGGAACCGTATTTGCTTCGACCTTCTCGAGCTGCTAAAGGCCCCTTGAGGGTTTGGGGTTAATATCAGCGCCTTACGAAATTAGAATAAGGTTTTGGGGTATATTAGACTCTAGTTATAATATGGAACCCAAAAAATTTGGTAATTATTTAGGCCTTTACAAGGAGATTTTAGGCATCTAGGAGGTTTCAGGGGGTATGGGAGGTGGGGTCTGCCGCTTTTGGGGGTTCGAGGGTTTGGAGTTTCGGTCTAGGACATTTTCAGGTGGGTAGTTACCGTTATAGGAGCCTTATAGAAGGTCTATATACCTTATAGAAGCCTTATCGAAGCCCTTTATTACCCTGAACTCCCCACCTGTAGTTTTCTTTAATTCGCGGGTGGGAGCTTCCGCTTTGTGTTTTTGCGGTCCAGGGCTGTCTGATCTTTGGAGCTTCGGGTGTTGGCTCGGCTTAGGGTTTAGGGCTTAGGGCTTAATTAGGGCTTAGGGTTTAGGGTTTAGGGTTTCCTGCTTCTTCGTAGGATCGTATACTGCCTGGTGAGTGCCATGAGGTAAATCCTCAAAAACTCAGCCGTGCAGCTCAAGACCTTATCAAGAACCCCAAAACCTAATCCTAAACCCTAAACCCTAAACCTTATCAAGAACCCCAAAACCTAATCCAAAACCCTAAACCCTAAACCCCTTAAATCCTAAAACTCAATTCAGAATAATGCAGGATTTTGGGGCTATCAGCAGCAGCACAGGCCCACAAGAAGGCGATCCGGCGAGCGACGGTGGGAAGCCCCGGGCTATTGAGGTTAAGGATGTGAGGTGATTTTTTTGTTATATATGATAGTTTTTATGGTGTGACATATCGTATATAATTGATATTATATGTATTCAGTGTATATATATATATATTTATCTATACACATTTGTATGTTATACAATGAAACCTTTGTTTATAATGTAGGGATGTAGGATTTAGGTTGAGGGTTTGCAGATCATGCCGTATCACAAACCTCGCACATAGAGCATGGCACAACACAGCATCACACTGCGTACGCTTGTGGTATGGAGCAGCATCACATGGCATGTTGTAACGACGCTGGGTACATGCCCTTGTGACATCCCTGGAGTAGTAGCATGCATACACTGTGCACTACTGTAGTGAGTTGAGTGGACTGGACTCGACCAGCTACAAGGCCGATTCCAATACGGAGCCTTGTCGTTACTTCCCGTGGTGTTGCTGTTCTTGGTGGCATTTTCCTGTTGTGGTGGCTGAAGTGTCCGGATCCTAATACAGTGCTGTGTCGGTGACACTTCAGGGTTTAGGCTTCAGGAGCCTTGGGATTCATGGTTAAGCTGATGAACCCTAAACCCTAAACCCTAAACCGCTGATGATCAGCTATGCCTGTTGGCGATACGGTGTTGGGATCTAGGAGGCAGGAGTTAAGGGTCCGAAGATCCAGACTCCCGGTCTCTCGACTCCTGAATCGTTTAGGGTTTAAGGTTTAGGATTTGGGGTTTAGGGTTTAGGGTTTCAAAATTATGGTCCCTTTTTGGGTCCGTAATATAATACGGCACCTAATATTTGGGGTACCCAAAAAGGGACCCTAATTTTGACAATCACCCATAAGTGAGCGTAGTATATTCCAGAGAATGCCAAGTGAGTTTGGTTTTGCCGGGCATAGTTCTTCAGCTGCAATGTTTCTAGCAGCTTTTGCAGGCGTCGGCTGTACACATACTGTACAATGTACGTGTTTTTTCTATGTGGTCAGTTTCTCATACATGTGCACTCCTGTGCCCCCACAAGGGGCATGCCAGTTGCATTTTTCAACGACAGGTACTGTATCGACTTGCAAAACACATGCATGCACGTGTACATACCACGCCATACCATATCAGACCACACCAGACCATACCCGGGTACCCTACCGTACTCTTCCACACCCGACCGTACCCTACCGTACCAAACAAGACCATACATACCATTTACAGACCATAGATACCGCACATGTTATAGCTACATACATATACACCCATATCTACATGTGCAAACATTGCTGTGATTTGGTTCGGATCCTGCTCACAGGTTAAATGTGTGTACACACATTTGCAAAAAAAATGCACAGCAGCATAAGAAATTCAATAGTTGATTATCGGTCGATAAATGCACAGACGCACAGACTTGTCAAAACTAAAGGATAATGAAGCGTATCTGTAGATATACAAGAACAATTGTCCGAATGAATAAACGGATAGTACATGCACAAATGAAACACTAAATGGACAAACCAATACATGTGCAAACACGAGTATGAGTATATGTATAACCATAAGTATGGACTTGTGGCTCTAAACAAATTTCAATCAACATGTGTACTACATGTATATATATATATAATATATGTATGTATGTATGTATGTATGTATGTATGTATGTATGTATGTATGTACGTATGTATGTATGTATCGTTGTGCCTAGCTACCTATATACCTACATATCTTTATCTACATATATCTATATATGTATATACATCCGTAGAACAATATGTCTAGATGTATATATCTACATATACGTATCTATAGCTTTAGATCTATGCATCTATACATCTACACATAGGTACATCTATATATTCACATATGTCTATATATCTATATATCGATATATCTTTATATCTGCAGTTCTATATACCTGTATATCTATGTATCTAATCTACCTGCATATATATGTTTGTATAACTTACCGATATACCGATAGTATGACTATTTATCTTGAGATCCTGGTATCGTTACATCAACATATCCATGTACTTATATCTGTATTTATGTTTATACATACGTATAAACACAACGAATATATATATATATATACATACATATATATATATACACATACATACATACATACATACATACATACATACATACATACAGACATACATGCAGACACATGTTTGCATACATTCTTATGTACGTATGCATGTAAGTAAGTAAGTAAGTAAGTATGTATGTATGTATGTATGTATGTATGTATGTATGTATGTAGGTGTGTATGTATGTGTATACGCATGCATACATGTATGTATATACGTATGTATGCATGCATGCATGCATGCAAGTATGCACGCATGTATGCATGCATGTACGTATGTATGTATGTATGTACGTACGTATGTATGTATGTATGTATGTATGTTTGTTTGTTTGTATGCATGTATGTGTGTATGTACTCATGTATGTATGCATGCACGCACGCATGCATGTATGGCTGTATGTATGCATGTATGCATGTATGTATGTAGATGTAGATGTGTACATGCATATCTGATTCAGGTCAACACCTTCGGCTACATCGCCAAGGCTATCGGCCCCCATGATGCTAGGGCCCAAGTGTTTTACTCTCGGAAAGTTGAGGTGGTTTGTGATTTTGTGTGTTAGGGCTCAGGGTTTAGTTTTTTGGGCTTGGGGTTTCTGGTTTAGGGCTTTTAGAATCTTTAGAGCTTGTGGGCTTTAGGGTTTATGGCCTGGTTGGGGTTTAAGGGTTCAGGGCTTCGGATTTTGGGCTTTCGGGCTTATGGGTTTAGAAGGCTTGGGATTTAGTTTGCAGGTTTTCCCTCTTCATTAGACCACCCTACTCTGGTGCTTTACGGTTTAGGTCTATGTTTGGATGTATGGTTTGAGTTTTCGCGCTCTTAGCAGCCCTGCCCTGCGCACCTTAATCCCCTTCACCCCTAAACCCAGGACATTCTCAGTAATTTCGATGCCGTGATGTCCTGCCGTACTATCCTAAACCCTAAACCCGAAACCCTAAACCCTAAACCCTATCTCCCAGGTTCTCAGTACGCTGCTCAACAACCTCAAGGTCCAGGAGCGTCAGCTGCGTATTTGCACGACTGCCCGGGCCCGAGCAAAGAAAGCAAGACCTTAGCCTAAACCCTAAACCCTAAACCCTAAACTCTAAACCAGCTTCAGGGCTCTCTGGGCGATTTCAGGTTTGGGGCCTACGGGCCTATAGGATTTATAGGGTTTAGGGTTTAGGATTTAGGGTTTCGGGTTTAGGGTTTAGGGTTTAGGGTTTAGGGTTTAGGATTTAGGGTTTCGGGTTTAAGGGTTGAAGGCTTCAGTTGTTGAGCCCTGGGCTTACGGCTTTGAGATGAGGCTCTGGTCTGGAGCTTGGCGTGCGCTTTGAGATGTTAAAGCCCCATGCAACCCTAGAGAATACGAAACCTGCCCTTCCAGTGTATCTACTCTACATAGATATCCAGATGTCTCATTCTAAGCCCAGCGAATCGGCACCTCGCACAGGTGGCCATTGCCATTGTTGCCGAAACATGTGGCCCATTTACTGTCCTGCCTGGGCCTCGTTGGGGGTGCTGTCAGTCGGGCTAGGGATTAGGATTTAGTTGCAGGTGTTTCTTTTGGGACTGCAATGACGTCATGTAAACGCTTCGCGTCGTCCGCCTCGGCCCGGCCGCAAACAAAGAGGGCCAACGAACTGCCGGTGCCTTGAAGGCGCCGACGAGACCGGGGAAGGGGGGGGTTGGCTGGGGGCCGGGGGGGGGTTGGCCAATAGAGGGGGGTTGGCCAATAGGGGGTTGGTGAATAGAGGAAGTCCGAATCTGCGGGCGAGGCGACTAGTCTGAACCCGAAGCCAAACCGGTTCAAAGGCAAAGCCTGGGACAGTCTCTGAATGCTGACTGTGATGCTACGAAGGCATGGGTAGCCTGCGTGCGCTTCGGAATGCTGAATCGAACACTGGAAGCAGGGTGGTCATGATAGTAATGGTGAGAATGACGCCGACGCCGACGCGGATTGACGCCGACGCCGATGCGGATGCTGCGAAGATGACGAAGATAATTATGACGATGCAGGGCCAAGTCTTTAAGAAGGATTTCGTGTTGCTTCAAGGGTGCACCGATAAGTCTCACCCCCGAGTTGCGGCAAAGCCCCAAATCCCAACCCTAACCCACCAGGACCTTCTTTTTCGTAGGGTCCCGGGTGCCTATAGATCCCAAAATAGGGTGTGTAATCAGAACCTACAAATAGCGTGGGTTTGTTGTGGGTTAAGGCAAAACCTAATTCCTAAACCCTAAAACCTAATTCCGAAACCCTAAACCCTAAACCCTAAACCCCAAACCCTAAACCCTAAAACCCTAAACCCTAAACCCTAAACCCTAAACCCTAAACCCTAAACCCTAACCCTAATTCCTAAAATTTAAAACGCTGGACCTTGTCGAGGCCAGCTCTCATGAACGAGTACAGAGTGCCAGAGCTGAACGTGCAGATCCTCGGCTTAGGGCCTACTTGGAGGTTCTTTAGGGCTCAGGGTTTATATAGGGTTTAGGGTTTAGGGTTTATATGGGGTTTAGGGTTTAGGGTTTATATGGGGTTTAGGGTTTAGGGTTTAGGGTGATTCATGGGTAGTTATAAGGCGCCTTTAAGGGATCTATAAGAGGGTTCTATAAGGGGTCCTATAAGGGGTCTATCAGGGGTCTATAAGGGGTCATGCTTGGGATCCTCGGCTTAGGGCATTAAAGGCTTAATTAATTCAGGGGCCTTAATAGTTTAGGGTCTAGGGTTTAGGGTTTAGGGGTTTAGGGTTTAGGGTTTAGGGTTTAGAATAGGGTTTTGGGGGTGCCTTATGATAGTTATAGTATAACATACCCCAAGCCCTATTCTAATTATTAAGGCCCCTATATTAGGGCCCAGAACTGGGGACAACTTCGCATACCTCCGGGGCTGAAGATTTAACCTTTACCCGGTTTGGGTATGTATAGCCCCTACCAAATTTAAGAGGATAATCTTCTATGGGCCAGGGTTGAGCTGAAAGTGGTAGAAAGACCCCCAAACTACCCTCTACTGTAGCCCCAAATTCCCACTATTTCGGGCCATAAAAAATCCATTAAAGGGCCATTGGGGGGTCCCGTAGAAAGTCTGAAATACCCCAATCTGAAGACCTTCAGTGCAGGATGCGGGGCTCCGGGGTTGAAACTTACAAGGGGATGTAATGGGCACGTCTCGTAGCCTACACTTGAGGGCTTTGGTTCTTTTGGGATTTAGGGTTTCTAGGGGTTTATAGGCTTTAGTAGGGCTTCGGGCTTTGGGGTTTAGGGTTTAGGGGCTTATAGGCTTTAGTAGGATTTAGGCCTTGACCTTTGAAGCCTGAAACCAAGGCAACCTGTCGCGCTCTGCGCAAAGCCGATAACTACATTGCTGGAACACCCTAAACCCTATAACTCGAAACCTTAAACCATGCTGAACCCTTGTTGCCCTAAATCCTAACCCTAGTCCCTGGGCCATAAAGCCTAAACCCCCAAGCCGAAAACCACTCATGTCTCAAAACATTTGTGCTTCGATCCCCTTGCCTTATTGTCCCAAGAGTAGCGGTACCTTATTCCGGGGTCCTTACATGGACGGTGATTTAAGGAGTTTTACACTGGTTTGTCAAGGTTTCAGGTACCGTATTTCGGGGACGAACGTGCTTTCAGTGCTGTTTAACGTTTTTTCTTGCATCCGGCCATTAAGTTGAGGTGCATGATCTACAGGTCCTCATAATAAGGATCCTACACTTTGGTGTCTCGTTCGGGGCACCCTCTCTAAAACATGTTGCTTTGAAACAATGAGGTTTCCCTAAATCCAAACAATATAGAAACCAGAGACAAAGCGTTGTAAGGGTGATAGGGTACAGAACCCTAAATCCTAAACCCTAAGCATAAACCCTGGGCTTCACGGTTTTTGGGTTTAGGCTTTAGTATCTGCAGTAGAAGTGGTAATCCTTGGCAATCTTATCCCGATGTCACTATGTAGAATAGCACTGATATAGCCCTAAACCCCACATGAGATTACGGATGCCGGTCGACGGAGGAATGGAGTTTTGAAGAGCTTGAGCTTCATGTTCGAGTATATCGGCGAGATGGCCAAGGCCTTCTGATCGGTGAAAGTGGTTGGTTCTCCTTGGTGCTTAGCATTCAGAATCCGAGGCATTTTGTTTGCCGAACTTATGTAGGTGACTGCGCAGGGTTCCTACAAAGTTTACGATGCCTGAAGCGAACAACAATAATTTCCGTACATCTTTTTCCAAAAATTGCCTTTCCACTTGTAGAGGAATTCATGCCTCCGTCACAAGTGCCCTAAACCCTAAACCCTAAACCCATGCCCCCAAGGACCTGCAGACTCTGCTGCCCCGTTGCCCCACGCCCTGAACGCAAGAAAGCTACAACTCGGACGAGAGTTCGAGGCCCCCGCCCCCCAAAAGCTGACAAACGAGCGCCCATGCGTTTCCAGCGAACGAAAGTGGCCTGAACGGGTTTAGGGTTTGGGACCTGCAGAAGAGGGTGATTGAAAAATTGGATCCTGATCGTGAATCATGCGAGACTCGGACAGATGGAAATTCTTGGGCCGGGGGGTTCGGCAGGGTCTGTGGTCTGGATCCTGCGTGACAGATAGCTACCCTAACTTCAGCTCCGAGACAACGATGCACCCTAAACCGTACACCCTAAACCAATAAATCCTAGCATTAAAGCCCCCGCTATGAAATTCGTGGATAGTTTCATTCTTCGGGTTTCGCTTGGATGAACCAGCGTCTCCTCCACCCTTCTTGAAGCAACGTTGAAAAGGGGGCTTAGTAATTAACTACACTAATTTTTGGAGGTTCCTGATTATCACTATAGTGTAAGATTATGCCCCAAAACCCTGTTTTAATTCTTAAGGCTCTTACATAACCTGTACCTTTAATTTGTAGAGGCAGCGGCTGCTCAACGGCTATTGAGGGATCCTGAATATAATTGCGGCTAGTGGGATCCTGAACATAATCACGGGTTGTACCACGATATGAGGATCATGGGGTCTTCGGGTACCACTTGGAGGATGGAGGGACTTACGTAGTAGGTCAAGTTGTAAGTATTTTGATTGGTTGAAGTTATCCATACTTCTATCTGTAGTCATCTCACTTATGGCTCTTCTTTCTGAGTCCCCCATCGGTTGAAGTACCAGGACTACATCTATGCCGTGACGCCGATCCTAGAGGATGCACTCATGGACCGAGACCTCGTTCACAGGCCTGCTTTGATTTAGGGCCTTTAGGGTTTGATCAGTGAAGACATACGGTGGGGCGTAGGTTCTAGGGCATACGGCACATGGTTTCGGTTCACATTATTTATTTGGTTTAGGGTTTAAGGTCTGATTATGGTTTAGGGTTGAGGGCGCTCTGGGGCATGACAGGGCTTGCATTTCGCGGTTTAGCTGTATCGGGCAAGATTATGCTGTCTAAAGCTCTAAGGCCCTTCTTGGGATTTGGGGGTTTCGGTTGCCCGAAGCCCGAAAAAAAGCCAAAGCCCACCTGTTGCAAGGTGATCTTCAGGAAATCAGAGTAAGGAATCCAGAAACCGAACTGTTGCCTTGGATTCAGGGTTTAGGTTTTAGGGTTTAGGGTTGCCTTGGCTATTGCTGTTTTTTGAGGCAAGCACTCGGTCTAGGGGTTTGGGGTTTAGGGCAAGCACTCAGACCAAAGCCCTAAACCTGTATCATGAGTAAGAAGCACCCAGAACCTTCGAGTGGGCAGGGACTGCTTAAAGTTTCGAGAGTTTTGGTACGTCTGGAGTTTAGCTAGTTGTAGGTTTATTTTAGGGTGTAGAGTATCTGGGCTTCGATCGCTTTCATGTTCCTTAAACTCGAAACACCTAGCATCTAACCACATGCGAAAATTCTCAACACTTAACCCACACCCTTCACACGCCCTCTTGCACTCTCCAAGGGGTTGTGCTGTTAATCTGTTTCGCAAGCAACTTGCAAAACAACTTCCCTTACTGATACCCTCAGTTCAAATCCTAAAAGTCTTCTACCTCCCAAAGCCTTGACACACTTATAGAAAGCCTCAACCCTCAAGCCTTACATACTTATAGAAACCCGAGAACTGCTCGTGACAAGAAGCCCTACCGACACCCTTATTGTCACCATAAGAGAGAAATGCACACAGTTATAGAAACCCCCAGACTTCCAAACTCCCAAACCCTAAACCCTAAACCGCTAACCCCCAAACCCTAAATCCCTAAACCGTAAACCCTAAACCCCTTAAACCCTAAACCCTAAACCCTAACTCCTAAACTCCTAAACCCCTAAACCCTAAGCCCTAAATTACAGCCTCAACCCCTAATCCCTAAGCCCAAAATGACAGCCTCAGCGTGAAGAAAGGCAGACGGCTGCATGGACGTGCAAGCATTTGGCTCTCGGAGTGCACGGCCTTGGCTGTGAGGACTCCTTTTGTTGTTGCCTTTGTTTTATTTCAACATTGTCGGTTTCGGGTTTAGGGTTTAGGGTTCAGGGTTTAGGGTTTGGGGTTTAGGGTTTAGGGGGGTTTAGGGTTTAGGGGGCAAGGTTTATGGTTTTGGGGGCTTGGGATCTCTAAAGGGGTGCAGGGTTAGGTATATGAGCTTCCTGTATTTCTCCGTGGTGTCTAGAAGCGTTCCGGACGCAGGGGAGAGCTTCTTGCTTTACAAGGGTCTATATTGGTTAAAGTTAAAGTATGGATTCTGCAAGGATCGGTCAAACCAGGCTGTCTCGGGGGATTTCTATAAAGGTTTCTAAATGGGGTTCAGGGGTTTCGGGGTTCTGAGGTTTTTGGGTATGGGGGCTCCAGGCGATCTGCAGGAGACCAGAAAGGCCGTCATGTACCTGCGGCTGGTGCTTCCGGTCGCTCTGGAGAGTCGTACCCTATACCTCTTTTCGGGCACTTACTTTTCCATAACACAGATCGTAACCATCAAACTATGGGTACTTCTCTTGAGCCCTAAACCCTAAACCCTAACCCCTAAACCCCAAACACTAAACCCCTAAACCCCCAAACCCAAACCCCTAGACCCGAAGCCTTAAAACCCTAAACCCTAAACCCTAAGCCCTAGAGTTTTAAAGTAGGCCATGCCCCAAACGGCTCCTAGAAGCCAGGGTCTAAGACTCACTGTCTCACCTCACCTCGGAGTTCTTCCCGGCCCCTTCTGCAGTCCATTCTTGATTTATGTGTCTATATCTCACAGGTATATTGTAGTGTATGATATTCTGCTTTAGTAATGCAGAGTATAGCAATAGTAAAATATATTATATACAGGTATATCACAGTAGGTTATGATAACTTATTATAGCATCTTATAGTCCGATTATAGGTTTATGATAGCATATATTGTAAGTCTATGAATCTACTACAGTATAGTCTAGCCCTATACTCCTGCCAGGATGCCCTTCAGCATCTCATGAACTACGTGTGGCCGAACGTCTTTGAGAACTCGCCGCACTTGATCATGGCATTGGTCTCAGCTTCGGGGTTCAGGGTTTAGGGTTTAGGGGGTTAAGGCTTTTTAGATGGCTTTGGGGTGTAGGGTTTGGGATTTCGGGGGCTTTGGGGTTTTCGGTTTATGTGTCTAGGGGTTTGGTGTGTCCTTGGAACTCTCAGAGTTTGGACTACCTCCGCGGGAGATTCGCAAGACACGCCTCGTGCAAGCTCATAGATGGTACACTTTAGGGGCATGAACAACTCTTCATGTCATTGCCTGGGGTTCCCGAACCCTAAACCCTAAACCCTAAACCCTAAACCCTAAACCCTAACCCCTAAACCCTAAACCCGATTGTTTGTTGCATAAAACCTCCCCCAACCCTTTCATCTGATTCGTCAGGCTTTTATTTTGCAGATTCTGTGGGGCAGTGACGGGCTCGGTCTTGTCTTACATTGGCTTAATGTTACGAAAGAACGTCAGCGCAAGGCTAGAGGAAAAGCCAAAAGACGCCAATTTTATTCTTCAGCCAAACCCTAAACCCTAAACCCTAAGCCCTTACCCCAGACTCTAAACTGCTGCGCAGAACCTAGGTCCATTGCCCGAAAGGACCCATCTTCGATCACGGACGATACACGCAAGCAGAAGCACATAATCCTAAACCATAAACCATAATCCTAAACCCTCAACCCTAACCCCCCCTCAACAAATACATATATATATATATATACACACACATAGAACTAATAACCCAAACCCTAACCCCTAAAGCACACGAGCCAGAGAGCCGAGTTCGAGGGTTGCGAGGTTCGGTCAGGGTTTGACGCTTGGGATTTGAGCTGATTTGTTTAGGGGTTTAGGGTTTAGGGTTCAGGGTTTAGGGTTTTGGGGGTTTAGGGGTTTAGGGTTTAGGGTTTAGGGTTTCGTTTTTTGGGTTGGAGGCTTATGGTCGTAGGGCTTAAGGTTGAAGCTCTGAGGTTTATGGTTAAAGGCTTGTAGCATAAGGAGACATAAGTGTGTCGGGGTTAGTTTAGGGTTCATGGTTGAAGGGCTTGGGGTTTGATTTAGGACTAGGAGTGAACGGCCTGTGGGCTATACCAATATCCCCAAAAGAATTCCTGGCGTGCCCCAAACGACACTCAGACTGGTTTAGGGTCTAGGGTTTAGGGTGCCCCAAACGACAAAAACAAGCATCAGAAAAGCTACACGTGGTGTCAGGTTCATGCTTCCTTAGGGTCGTAAGCTCAGAGCAAGAAGAGGAGTCCTATGTTACAGCGTCAGGGTTTAGGGTTTAGGGGTCTAAGCATGTGAGTCTAAAGCCTGAACCCTAAAGCCCTGCCCCCGAAACCATGCTGCCAGCCAGTCTTGGCCAATCCTTAAACTCTAAGCCCTGAGCCCCAAACCCAAACCCCCCAAACCCTAAAGGTCTACTATAGGAGCCTAAATGATTACCAATACTATTTGGGTCAGACGCGCCCTAATGTGGGCTCCGGTGTCTGACACAGAACAGAACACTAATTCGGGGGTTCCTTATCGTGACGATAGCATAATATACCCCAAAACCCTATTCTAATTATTAAGGCCCTTAGACCTTAAACGCTTATAGTAGCCCTTCTAGTATCCCTTTCTAAGGATCCCTTTAAAGGAACCCTATGTAACCCTTGTCTGATCATTAAGGCTTCTACATTACTCCCGAAGTCCTGCCAGCTGCAACACAAATCCTGAGCCCTCACTCCCGAAGTTCGGCATCTAAAGCCCTGACTACCCAACATCTTGAACCATGGATCCTAAAACCCTCAACCCTAAACCCTGAATCCTAAATCCTAAAACCCTTAACTCTAAATCCTAAAATCCTTAACCCTAAACCCTACTACCCTAAACCCTAGACCTTAAAGAGCCGTTGTGTGTACCCTAAGCACGGAATCCTAAACTCCGCTCCTCTCTGGCTACGGCGTCTTCCACGCAACACCCCCGAACGCTTACAGGAGCCCTTGCCCTAAGGGTCCATGTATACCACCATTATGGAATTAGGTCCCCAAAACCATGACAAGAATGGTCTTTTGGGAGCTAATTCCATAATGGTAGCATATGTGGACCCTCTGGGTTTTCTGGCAAGGAACCCTAGCATCAATCCTTACAGGACCTTTGGACAAAACCTTCACTCCCAAACCCACCTAAACATCCCCTGCCCCTACCAAACCGCAAGTTTAGGGTTTAGGGCTTAGGGTCCAGGGGTTCAGGGCCTTCACCCTAAATCCCAACCCTAAACCGAAACCCCCCCTCCCGGCCCACCCTAAGGCTGTCTTCGATGCGATCGACGGCTTCCGGATCTCCCTGGGCCCAACAAAGGTCCTTCAGTACTTGCTGCAAGGCAAGGGGGGTTTAGGGTTTAGGGTTTATAAGTTTAGGATTTAGGGTTTAGGGTTTTGGGGGTTTAGGGTAGTTGTTGTTTAGGATTTTCGGATTTCGGGTGGTCAGGGAAGTTAGCTAGGGTAGTTAGAGTTTCGGGTAGTTAGGGTTTTCGGGGTTATTCTAGTTTAGGATGTTCTGTAAGGATTCTAGTAAGGGCTCTCGTATAGGGTTTCCGTGAGGCTTCAGCCGGGGGGTTAAGGGATTGCAGTTTAGATTTTAGAGTTTAGGGTCGAGTCTAGGGTTCAGAGATTTTTTGGTTTAAGGTCCATTTCATCCAGGGTTGTGCAGGGGTTTTGGCGAGGGGGCTGGGGTTTCGGGTACAGAGGGATGGTTCGGGTTCAAGGCCAACTGGTGGTAATTTAGGGTAGCTGGGACTAGGACATTCTTAGAGAGTCGTTGAGATAGAAAAAATCACGAGCGTTCTGGGCCGTCTTGTACGTACCCTATGCGCATTCCTCCGCTGCTCCTGCTTCCTGAGGCAGCTACACACTCAACCCCTATAATTACCTTTTTCCTCAAGCTCTGAGCCATATACTATTTGCCTTTCAGTTGAGTACTTCAAATCTACCTGGCACTTAGCTTCTGTAGTAGTCTCCACAACCCCCAAACCTCAAGCCTTAAAGCATACGCCTTTGGAGGCTTGTGGCACCCAGCTAGACGTGTCCGGGTCTGGCTCTCGGGGGCAAGGAGCTAGGGTTTCATATAGGGCTTTATAGAATCTTTATGAGTGTTGCATAAGTGCGTTTAGGGCTTTAAGGGCCCTAGGATTTGTCGGGTTTCATGAGCCTTCTGCGTTGTTTATGATGGGCTATCAGCTGGCTCGAGGGTCTCATGGGGCCTTACGAAGGTTTATGAGGTTTGAAGTTTTCGGATGCTTTACAACGGCTTTATAAGGTTTTATGACTTACCAAGGCTTCATGAGGTGTTACAAGGTTCGATAAGGTGGGTTTTCTAACGGCTTGATTGAGGATTTTTATGAAGGTTGTTATAGGGCTTTTGCAAAGACTATACTTTGACTGTATAGGGCTTTATCAGGGCTTCAAAGGTTTTGATAGTAAGTTGTAAGTAAACTCACAAATGCAAAAAAGGCTGTCACGTCAGCTAGCGCAGAGGGTCTGCTTTTAGGAATTCAGCCCGGGCCCTGCACCCTCAATCCCTCAATCCCTGAAGCTTGGACTTAAAACCCTACTTGGAGGTTCATGGGTAGTTATAAGTAGGGTTGTAAGTAGGGTAACTATAGTTATAACCTATATTGGGGGACTTATGACTCCACCTATAACTACCCATGAAGCTCCAAGTAAACCCTCTAAGTCCTTTCCCCTTTCGCCTCAACATGAATTGGGGGGCCTCAAAAGGAGCGATGAAGGTGAGTAGGATGAAGGATCCCATTCTAGGACTCTTATTTGGGATTACATCACATACTTTCATCCCACCCTTTGAATCAGACCCTATTTGTCAGATCGTTGGAGCCTCCGGGCTGTTTTGCTCAGGGCAATAGGGCTTTAAGGTCGAGGTTTTTGTTTTATACGGTTGAGGGTTTAGGCTGACGGCTGGTAAGGCTATGTGCGATGTCCGATAGCTCGGGTTTCAAGGGCTTGCAGATTATAACTAGGGTCAAGTGTATATATGAACCCCAGCCAGCAACTACCGTGGACCCAAGAGCCCTAAACACTAAACCAGTACATTTTCCGAAGTTGGGTCACTTGGGACGCGCACGAGTCTTCTAAACCCTAAACCCTAAACCCTAAACCCTAAACCCTAAACCCTAAACCCTAAACCCTAAACCCTAAACGCCAACGCAGCATTTTGCAGCACGACTCCGACCTGCCTTCCAGCCTCTCTTATCCTGGAAGATGCCAGCCGTGACTTCGCACTACTTTGAGTTTCGTCTTTCCTTTCTGTGAATAGTATACTCCTGCTGGTTGACTACTACATTCAAGCAGATAAACTTTGTCAGGAAAACATTCGGTATGATAGCAGATAACTATATAATATACTCTATATAATATATCTATATACACATGCAAGATATATATATATATACATATACATATGTACATATGTATACAGATACACACATCATACTCATGCATACATGGATGCATGCATGTGCATACATATATACATAGATCAGGGTATAAGACTAGATCCACAGCTTGACGTTTATATATCCGTGAAAGCGGCCAAGCAAGGTGAAGAGCAATGGCTACAGCAGCGACACCACGCCGAGCACACGAGCCAGTGATGCCCCATCCGGTTCGCCACAAAGCTCGGGCTCGTCATCTCCCACGAGGAAGCTCACAAAAGACGAAGTCCTGGCTTTGCAGAACGACCTGATGCAGGTTCGCTATAACCCTAAACCCTAAACCCTAAGCCCTAAACCCTAAACCCTAAACCCTAAACCCTAAACCCTAAACCTATAACCAAGCCCCAAACTGCTAAACCTGTGCTTTCTGCGCGAGCGCGAGTCTCTGAACTTGTATTCCTTAGCTTTTTGTAGCAATACCCATAGGCCCCATAGTAGTTCCGTTTTGGGGGTTCATATTTAGAATCCTATAAGGTAATCCCGAAAAGGAACTACTATGGGGCCTCTGGGTAGCCTGATGCAGGAATTCTCGTCGCCTTCCTTCCAGAAGAAGCTGCGGCAAGCGTCCAGCTACCAGGCTGCTGGCAAGCTCGAGGAGTACCGGAAGGCACGGCTGAGCCTCGTGCGGGATGCGCAGCGGACCATCATTCCCGGGCATGGCTTTCCGGCCTCAGACAGAGGTGTTGAGCAGATGCTCTCCTCCGTGGAGGATTTCCGAGATGATCCGGATGTGGCCGTGAACCAGAAGATCATCCAGGAGCATTTATCAGCCTGTGAGGTGCCAGAGGCCGGGAACGAGCACACGGCCATACCGCTGGGCCACGACAAGAAGGCCCTTGGCAAACGAGACATCATCCGACTTCTCAAGAGCCTGCATGTCAGCTTCAGTGAGCCAAACTTTCAGGAGGAGTTGACGAAGCTAAAGGAAGCTGAGAAGACGCTTGGCGCGTAAGAAGGGGCTCAAGGAAGCTTCAGTAAATGAGCATTAGAATTCCGTCGTTTTCAGCTACAACCTACCCCTAAACCCTAAACCGTATAGTTGTAGTCTAGATAAACCACTATGGCACCTCGAAAACCCTATAGATCCCGTATGAAAATTTATTGTTTAGGGTTTTAAGCCTAGTCTAGTTCATAGCACGAAGTCCCCTATACAGTATACACTCCTCGTCCCGCATTGTCTTCGCAGGATCGAATGAAAGTTGTGTCGTCAGGGTCCTATAGGGTTATATGTGTATATATATATA